GTGGTAGAAAGGCCCAAAGTGTGGTAGAACAATCATCCCTCCACATCTGTGGGCCAAGCATTCTGAAATTAGATCATTCATGGATTACGGTATTTGCTGCCTCCTCTGCAGCTGTCTTATATGTGACTGAATAGCATGTTCTTTCTAGGCATTTCTAGGTCCTCTGGCACAACTCTATGGTGAACTATCAGCCTAGAAAAGTTCCTAGAGAAGTGTTCTTTCATGTAAAAAATGGGGAGCTGTATCCACATTTTTCCCCCACTTTCACAGAGATCATGCATCTCAGACCTCATGAAAGCTGAGGGCCAACTATTAGCTTAGCAGGATAAGTGGGACTTGTAGAACATGGACTTCTTGAAGGCACAAGCTGCCCTTCATGAGAAGCACTCTTGAGAACCACAGCATACAATGCTGGGTCAGATCCATATATTATAGAACCAATAGGTTCTTTAACAAACAGAAAACTGACAAAATTAATGTAACTTTTAAAAACATAATGCAGAAGAGGACAGGAATGTAACAAATACATTTGGACAACATACTAAATTCAGCATACTAAATTCAAATGAACAACAACATATGAATCATAACATGGGATCATTTTGAAATAGAAAAATATAATTTGGGTTAGTATAATGATTAAGATGTCAACGTTAAGATGTCAATTAATTAATGTTAATGTTGATTAAGATGTCTCAATGTGATTTCAATAAGACTATCAAATTTGTAAATATACAGGCAGTCTTACTTGGCCGATACTGGACTCCTTCTATCAGAGAAACACCAAGCAACTCCACAAACACAGATTCAGATTTCTCTGGTTCATTATCATCCACAATAGGGAGCTCAATGGTAGCCTCACTTTCATTGCCTGCAAGGATTACAGATCCAAAAATGGGCAAATAGTCTTGTCCACAGGTTGCCCTGGCAACATTTGATGGCAGAAAGGGTGAATCATCCTCATCAGTCATGGTTTGATATGTAACCATGACTACTCCCAAGAGACCTTTTAACCGTATGACTGTAAGAGTGATGTTCTTGGTCCTTTCCTCAACTTTGATTGGTTTGTTTTTCTCAGAGAAAATCAAAAGTCCATAGGGGTCATCATTGGCAAGGATTATTAATGTAGCATTGGTGTGAACTCCAAGACGTCCACAGGAAACATTGATAATCCAAATTGAAAACATCTTGTCTAGTTCTGGGATTTCATCAGGCATGATCTGCACTGTTAAATTTGCTTTCCTTTGTTCTATATTGAAAGTTATGTTTCCAGAAGTAGCCACCAGATCCTCATTATCATCAGGTACAGTGAACCAATACAAAGTCACCTGGGACAAGGCACCATAGTTTCTTACAACCTGAAGAACAAAACAGTACATTACTATTTTTGCATTATGAAGACCCAAGTTCCTGTACTAAAAAAGTGTATTGCCTACAGCAGTGGAGGTTGGTGGCTTCATATCAGTAGAGTAGTAAAGCAACTCTGGGTTTTAATTTTAAAGAAGATATCCAATATGCTGAATTCTGTCTTCAAAACAGTTGTCCCTATGAAATCTGACACAATAAACTGCATCCATTGCAACTAGTCAGGCCAGCACAAGAAATCAGAAGCAAGACTTCCAGGCACACAGAGCTACTAAATATAAATAGCTATTCTTTGTAAGGTAGGCTCAGTCTTGTTTGCCAAATGTAGAACCTGCCATTGTGTCAACTGAAACAAACCTCCTCAAACTCTGCTGAGCAAAGGTATGCTAAAGGACAGGTTCTCTATATGGGCTTGCCCTAGATGAATTGTACAAACCTTGCCAGGAATTGTGTAGTTGTTCTATGCAAAGTACAATATTTTTGCCAAAGAAGGCACAAAATAAGCAAAGAGGCACAAGGCACAAGGACACAGAACTTGGAAGTAATGAGTTACAAGTAGCATATTTACCTGCAATAAACTATTCTTTTTCAGTACAGAAAGTGGAACAAAGTCACATTTAAAAATGAGCATAACAGATAGGAATGGAATGACTTCACAGGTGTAATTAGTAATGTTTTCTGCTTAAAATTACTTTTAAAGTATTGTTTAGGCATATCTGGAGACATTTTGACAGAAATTTTCCCAGTGTTTTCCTGTTTTCCTATCAGTCCTAAAATGTCCTCACCTCAAAAGCAAAAGAGTAATGAAAAGATAATAAGCAGCACAATGGGCAATGCAGAAGGTTATTTATGTAGCACTGCAACAAATGGGACCAGTCTTCTTTCAATCAATGTAATAAATGATGGCATAAATTACTTTTATAAAGTAACTTTCCAAGCTCTACAAGAGGCTTATTGAAGCCCAATCTTACAATTGGACATAAATACAATTGCACTTTGCACTGATTTAACTGGATAAATTAGGTTAAATGTCTATGTGTTACATGCTAGCCCACTGCCTCTTCTACTTGTTTTGATAATTCCATCCTGTGCAGAGATGTAAATCTTTGTATATTTTATTCTCATGGGCAAAAATGAACAAAACAACTTTTTTCCCACTGCAAAAATGTCTTTTAAATCTGTACAGTGTTTGCAGTTCAAGATTTATTTGACGGGGTGGTGGTGGAATACAATGTAGATTTTGTGTGGAAAATCATGTTTTCTATGCAGAAAAAGTCATTTTCTGTACAAAATCCCCAGCAGAATTTTTAATATCTATAATCCTTTCCTGTACAATATCACAATTCTCTGGTATGTGAGCATGTATGGGCACAGATTTCTTACACAGAAGCTCTATTACCTGGATGATTATTAGGTCTCAAATAGACTGGAATAAATCTAATTATCAGTCACATTTATGTGCTAAGACAGCATGAGAAATCAGATGTACATTTTTTTTCTCCTGTCTTCCCTGTCTCCTCTTTTCCTTACCCCATTTCCTGGATCAAGTGTACTTCCCTAGTAAAGAATGATAACAGTGTTTGAGTTCTGTCAAAAAGAGAATCTGAATTAGGCAGAAATAAATCATGACTGTGACAAATGCATTGTGAAAATTCTAGAAGAAATAAGTTTTGATGTAATTCCATATCTATAAGCTCAGATTTGCTGACCTCAAGCGTGACTCTTCCAACTCCATCCTCAGGTTCAGTTCCATTGACAGCAAGAAATTCAGGACTGAACTCAAATACCCCGTGAGCATCGTCAGAGGCTTCAATAGTCACTATGATATGAGAGGCTATACCCAAGCTAGCTGTTGACAATGAGAGAGGAAAAAGGTGATTTAGAGAATACCGGGAGCTGCATATCTGACAACAGAAAACTCTTGAAAGAATCTATATATGAGATGGCAAACAGGGTCTGGGGGCCAATTTTCCACCATAGGACTCTCTGGGGGCTGCATAGACTTTCATAAATGAAAAGCAAAACAGATCTGGATGTGGCTGGAAATCCACTCCTAGATTTGAAAAATTGGCATTTTGGAGTTTTAAAAAGTGCAGAGTCCCTCTGCAACATATTTAAGTTGTGGGTTGCTGCTCCTGGAATCTTGCAAGAGTGACTATTCATTCTCTCCTATTTTCTGTCAGAAAAAAAAGACACCCTTGGGTATCCAGAGGCTTCAGAGGTTACAAAGCAGCCCTAAGGGGATGTATGAGGTTCCAGGCCCACACTTTGCCCACAACAATCTATATTTTCAGTCTGTGGGAAACCAGTAAGAGTTCTGTACTAATATCATTAATGAATGTTGTTGTGAGTTGGGTTTCAGAGTAACACACGCTGCTGCTATAAACTTTACTGGAGATAAATAATGAAGCAGATGATATACAACAAAAAACATTCCAGATCCTTATAACTGGGGTCCAGCATCCCCTCAAAGCCAATAGTAGGATTAGGCCCCTAATCAACTAATTCACTAGAAATAATAGAATGCATTCACAGTATTCCTGTATAGAGTACAATCTTTTTAAAAAATAAGTAAATAAACAAAATAATAATAATAATAATAATAATAATAATAATAATAATAATAATAATAATAATAATAATAATTTTATTTATAGCCCACCCCTCTGCTCGGCACTGTAGTTTATTCATTTGAAATAATGAATATAGTCAAGTGACAGTGTGCTGAATTTAGCATTTCAGTAATATATGTTATAAGACAGACAGACAGATAGTCAGATGGGGGAGATTAGGGGGAGCAAGAGAGAAAATGGCTTACTCTTAGGCTATAATCCTATTCACACGTACAATTCTTTCAAGAGAAAAATCCATTGAAGGAGGAGGACAAAAGCAAGCTACATGCTCCCTTCATCCTCTGGTAGCTGCTAGCTCACACAGCCCCTACAAAAGACTTGGCTGAAAGTGTGAGTTACTGGGCAGACTGCTTTATGGGGGCTGAGGAGAAGGAGGGGATCCCACAGAATCAGATAAAGACACCTTCCCTCGCAGGATCTCCTATATCATTTCTAGCATTCTACTCAATTTTGGGGGATTTTGCCTTCCACTCTCCACTCAGGAGATCAAGCAATGTTTTAAATGAATATTCAGTGAATAAGA